GTAACGGAGCGAGGCAGTATCACCCCTGCCTTCATCGTCGTCGCCCTGAACCCGATTCTCAATCCAGGCGAGCCCCAAAGACCTCCACTTCGGACGCCAATTATGCTGAACTGGCGTCGAGGCCATCTTCTGGCCGCAAGAGGGCGGCAGCATTTCAGCACTCATCGACTATCATCCGAAAGTCTGGACGGCGGTCAACGGCGGTCTCGCCTGTCCAGACGACGGCTGCGGAAGCACTTCCAATCCGAAGAGCAAAATATGTAGTGCAGCGTAAAAAATGCTACAACCAGTGTTTTAATGGAGGAACCCTCAACAGACGTGGACATGATAACGCTACAGAGCCTCAGTAGTGTGGACCCAGATTCCGCGGGTTCTACACAAGCAACTGCGAGGTCTCCTCTCTGCAGACCCTCGAGAAGGATTGAATTTTTGCCATTGCAGGAGACAAGTGAACACGAGGAAAGGGCCTCGCTGAGGTAACTGTTGAGTTCGCTTCTTCCTTACATGGTTCAGTATGTTTAGAGTAGTAGGCAATGCCTTTGAATACCCTATTTAAAACTGTATGCAAATATGTTATACGTAAATACGTAAAATAAGTATGTTACTATAGAATAGTGAGTAGTATGTATATACGTATTTTTTATCAGTAAGATTTAAGCATTGTCTGTCTGAACCAACATATAACGATAAATGTCGTCGGGGTCTGCAGTTAAGGAGGGTCACCACCACGCAATGATTTTGTTTTTAAAGTCTACTATGGTTATGCTCTAGACTTTCAGATTCACCAAAGAATGGATTCAGGTTTTAGCACACACCCTGGAAACTAGGTCATTGGCAGTTAAGCCGTTTACTCTCCAGAACCAATCTGTGTTGCTATTTTAAGGAGGTCACAAAAATTCCCATCACAGAAATCCGAAGAGGAATCGGCAAGGAGCGCGAATTTGGAAGCAGTGGATGTCTGCTTATAACTTGTCTCCGTCCTGATCAATGTGTGAGATCTTGAGGAGGTTTTCCGGGCCCTCTTACCCCTTTTGTCATGCTTTCAGTTTCAGTGAAGTCAGCCCGACTCCTAGTATCCGAAAAGTACGGGCCAAATTGGCAATTCAAGAAGCAAATGAACTGTATGAGCCTACGAAGGTGGAAATCTGCCCCGTTCGGAGACCGTTCCCATGTATGGGGACACTACTTCCGAAGCACACTTCATAAAAAACTCCCCGTCGGGTAGGTTATTTCTTTGCATCAGGCTAATACTGAGATCTTGAGCATCGGGGATTGAGCTTGTATGTTGACTTGGGTTAACTAAGCGTTTCTTTTGTTCTTTTAGCGACGACCATCGACGGGGCCAAGGTTTCTGCTGCGATGGGTTTGGCACCAGCTATGCTGCTGTGTTCAACCAGCTGCCGAGTGATGACTGCTCTTTGGTCTTCGGATCGGAAGTGCTTCCGCAGCTCAAGGAACGGGTGGATCCGCTCCGTTGCTAGGAGCATCTCCATGTTCACTAGGGAACCCCTGTCACCCCCTGTAGCCTCACCCAATCCCCTCCCCCTCTCCAGTGTACATAGTCGAGTAGTGTTTATAAGTAAAGTCGTCTTAGCCAAAAGGACGGTTATTTTGTTTTCTCTTGAACATGGACGAGCGCATATACCGAAGCACTGCCACGTGCAGTCATTTGAATTAAAAACAGTTTTCGCATGGGCCATGGGGCTCACTATTGAGTCCCACAAGCAGCTTATATGTTTTAAATCGTGTGGATGACTGGGGATAAGTCGGTGGCGGGTAACGAAAGCCATTGGAGTCTTGAGGAAGATGGCAAAGACTATTTCGGCTATGGTTGTAAGAAGGGTTAAGTAAGTTAAGTCCTAGCAAGTGCAATCTTAAGCGCCGGTTCCCTAGGAGAAGATAATTGACGAGAGACCAGAGTGGAAAGAACATTTCATTCTGTACAGAAGGACGTGAAGGAAAGGCAGGAGGAAATTGACTGCCAGACAAGTGAGCAACCGCCAGCTAAAGCACCGCGTCTTAAGTGAGGTGACTGCAGGAATCGCCACAGCGTTTGGAGCGACCTTTGTGTGAGACAACTTTGGCAGGGGATTGGTGTCATATGTTGCGTCTGATTATCGCACTATGATCAAGTATAGAGAAGAGTCCAAAATATGCGAGGCCCAGGTAATACTCCCACTGCAGTACTACGTGGTTACTCATGCCGAGAGGAGATAAGTG